AACAAAAGGAGGTTTATGCGGTTTTTCGAAAAAGGGTTTGTTTGTTTTTCCGAAAAAACTGCATCCAGACTACTTTCACTTTAGAAATACCCACTTTCAAAAAAGGGATTGGAAGAAGATATTCCAATTCCTGCAGAATTTGCATATCCTCTTTTGAAATTAAAGCATAGTCTAGACATGCCCTCTAGATACATATTGAATCTCTGTTTAGATTTTATTTCCTCTAGCAAGCTTTTTTCTTCTCCAGGGCACCCCCATATTGAATCTCTGTTTAGATTTTATTTCCTCTAGCAAGCTCTTTTCTTCTCCAACGTACCCAGAGTGGTTTCAGAGACACTTGTTCAGGCTTATGCTCCGTGTTCTTTGATTATTGTTAAGACTCTTGGATAGATTTTCCAAGGCGTGTCACAAAGTGCCACCGGTTTTAAAAAGAGCGTATTTGCCAAGGGAAGGTGCAGGCTTTTTTATATTCCACATGTGCTATATGGGGTTTGCCTTGTGATTTGCCAGAACTTACCTGAATTTGCCCAATAAAAAAATCATTAAAAAGCCAAGTTGGGCTGTACGCAAGTTTGGAAGTTTCAGGTGGGATTTTCAAAAGCACCACAATCACATGGGTGCACAGGCTCATGGTCTGTCAGTGTGCTTGGTGTTCCTAGGTCACAAGGGGTCAGCTTTACAAAGGTTCGCACTATCTGGCTGCTTCTTTCACATTCTCAAAACCACCATTCAGTTACCACCTAAGCCTTCAGGTGTCTTAAATTCCCAACAGTGGGCACATGAGAAGCTGCCATGGTCTTGATGCCACCCACAGCCAATGAGCTCTCCTCTGTCAGGCCAGAAGCAGGCCTGCCGATGGGGGTGGGGCAAAGAGGGCAGTTGCTTACCTCAGGGCCGGCGATTCAAACTGGAGGCCATACAGACAAAAGCACAAACAACATTGTGCTAGGACCTGACATACAGAAGGACAATGGGTGGAGGTGGGTGGGTGGTAGAAACTAAAAATCCATGAGAGTTGCTCAGTCCTCAAGGCTTCCGAAAATCAGGCCATTTGTTTAGGCTCCTTGATTTGGATTTAGAAACGTAACAATGTGCAAGTATTTCTCAAAACCGTAGCCTAACTGCCTATGAAGTTGGTGTAGCCACATTCATTCTGTGTCAAATCCTTTGGCTCATCTTCTCTCCCCCTCCCCCACTCTCTGCCTTCTCCCCACCCCCTTTTCCTTAGGTTCAGGCTGAATTAAAGAAGCGACTGCGCAAGTGGCAATATCAAGAGTACCTGAACTTCACACGCAAACATCGGGCCATGTCCAGAGAAAACAGCCCCATCAACTATGTCACTCAGTTATCACTGCTTGAAAAAATTAGTCCTAAGAGGAAAAGATCCATCTCCCAGAATGGCACCTCCTTCGTGTGAGCCTATGAGATGTTGCGGTTTTGTCGCCTGCAAAATGAATGGAAAGATTGACAATATGGATTCTATGAAGCTCCTCATGGCGGACCTTCTTGTCCCAAACATCTTCCACTCTTCACTGCTGGTGCAGAGAGAATTAGGGGCCTGAACCTTCGTTCCTGGAGAATTCACTCCCTTGGGTACACTGACCCCAATGCTAAATTACTGTAGTTCCACGCAGGGCCTTGGAAGTCAGTGAAACTGCACCAATTTACACCAGAAGGGGAGCTGGCCCTACCAAATCCGTGATTTTGGTTGCCCAACTTGAGAGAACTTGAAAGAGGACTGCATTTCAGAACGTACAGAGCATCTGTCTTCTGAATACCAGTCCCCTTTAACATGTCTCATGATTTTTAGTACCATTTACAAATCTTGGCCCTAGGCGGTTCTGATTCGGGGAGAGTGGGCATAGAGGATGGATCATTAGTTTGATCTCTCCTGGCAATTCTGATGTTCAAGGCTGGTGTTCTCTCGCTTTGCTGGATTTCAGCTAAAGATGGCTTCCGGGGTCAGTGTCCCTCATGTTGTCGGCGTTGGCAACAAAGCGCTATGAGCTAATGGGTAGAGCAGAGGACTGGGAGCCAGCAAACCACGGCGTGGGGACAGCTTTGCTGGGTGGCAATGGAGCACTCACAACTTCTTTGCTTCAATAGTCCTCTCTGCGAACAGGAGGGTGGAGCTGTGCGCCAAAGCTTGAGGCCTTTATTCAAGGCTGGGTTGGCCCCTTCCAAGGAGAAACTCCTGGGATTAAGCTAAGGGGAAGGCAGCCTGTGTCAGGATTTGCCCTGGAAAGCTCCCTCCCATTGTCCAGTTGAGGGAAGGGTTTTATTTTCAGGAATAATAGGACACAAGACCTGCCCCCAAACCTAGCTGCAGGAAGCCAGGACCATGGAGTGAAGGATGGTTGCCTAATTAGGACTCTAGTGGATCAAGCTTTGGTCACCATAACCTTCCTGTGTGAGCTGGCCTTAAGGAGTTTGCCTGAGCTTTTGAAGGTGATTGAGGTGCCAGATAGGGATTTCAGAAGCACCTCAGAGGTGCTTCACTCAGAGTGAAACTGCCTTTGTCAGGTAAACCCTGAAAACCCCACTTTATTTATTACTTTATATAACTACCACCAGGTGCACTTGAACCCAGGATCTCTGGAGTTTGGTGTAGGAGCCGCTACAGCTGGAGCTATAAAGCCAGCTGGTGCTCAGCTTAAGCGGTAGCACTCCCTTGTTCTTATCTCTCACTGTGAGTGGTCTAAGTGCCACTATACAGGACAGAGTGCGGGTGACATTTGCACCCCTCAGTGTCTCAGTTCCCCATCTGTAAAGCAGAGCCAATAGTACTGCCTTGCCCCCCCCCAGGGGGTGGTGAAGACCAATGCATTACAGGGCGTGAGGCTTTCACAGACCAGGATAATGGGGGAGCCCAGACATATCTCAGATGCAATAATGTCCCTCTGGCATCCCTTCCTCCCCCCATTCCTGGTAGTTCCACTTTGACCCCCTTAGAAAGGACCACACCATGGAGTCGGCTGTGTAAGTAAGGTCACACAGGCCCAAATCAGCTTCCCAGACTAGGCAAGGTTGACCATGAACAACCCCTCCCCACCTGCAGGGCCTCCCAGTGCCTAACCCCAACCAGTCCTGTCCCCATCCCCTCTCCTCCTCCCCACAGATGCTGACTCACAGAGAGGCCTTGTTCAGAATCCATGGTGGCAGCATGGGAGGGCGCTGTCTCCTGTTTCCAAGTAGTTGGGGACTCCTTGGCCATAGGTTCCCCTCTAAGTCTTTGGGCACAAGTCAACACTCAGATTGTATTCAGTTGACTTCCTATTGCAATGCCTGGGAGTGCACTAGAGCAAAGTGCGTGTCTCAGGGTTTGGGCCTTTGTCGTGCTTTGCCTTGAGTCCAATGATCTAGAGCTGCAAAACATTTTTAACTCTGTTGGAAGATACCATTATTACAACTCTGCCCCATAGCCCATTGGAATCAGCCAGAGCCTTTCTATTGACTTCAAGCCTGGTATCTCTAGTTCTCTCACTGAAAACTAGGCAGTACCTAGCTAGACTCTAAACCAAACACTTCACATCATCCAGTTGTTACTTAGGATCTTACCTTTCAGCTCCTGCAACCCTAGTGTCTTCTGTAAAGAGTCATCGCCTTACATTACGTCTGTTCCGGGCTCCATGTCAGCGCTTCTTGTAAAAGAAGCATCATTTTTATCCTTTGTTTAAAATTCTCTTTACTTAATGTGAGCAGACAGATTTGTGGTTTCTTTAGCTGGCTGATGTTAAACACATGCAATAAAAATAAGAATGGCTGGTGTGATATAGATCTTCATGGCATTACACAGCAGGTGGAAAATTAAATATGACAGAAGTATATTTTCTACTGTGGGTCATTTGAAGTCAGGGAAATAAAGATTTACAGCGATGACAGCCTCACTCTAGACAAGATTTTCCGACAAAAGGCCCCTTCCTGCAGCTGAAGTGACTGCAATGATGTGCCATCATAGAATCATAGAATCATAGGACTGGAAGGGACCTCGAGAGGTCATCGAGTCCAGCCCCCCGCCCTCAAGGCCTTTTCATAGAATCATAGAATAATAGGACTGGAAGGGACCTCGAGAGGTCATCGAGTCCAGCCCCCCGCCCTCAAGGCAGGATCAAGCTCCGTCTACACCATCCCTGACAGATGTCTATCTAACCTGTTCTTAAATATCTCCAGAGAGGGAGATTCCACCACCTCCCTTGGCAATTTATTCCAATATTTGACCACCCTGACAGTTAGGAATTTTTTCCTAATGTCCAATCTAAACCTCCCCTGCTGCACTTTAAGCCCATTACTCCTTGTCCTGTCCTCAGAAACCAAGAGGAACAAATTTTCTCCTTCCTCCTTGTGACACCCTTTTAGATATTTGAAAACCGCTATCATGTCCCCCCTTAATCTTCTTTTTTCCAAACTAAACAAGCCCAGTTCATGAAGCCTGGCTTCATAGGTCATGTTCTCTAAACCTTTAATCATTCTTGTCGCTCTTCTCTGTACCCTTTCCAATTTCTCCACATCTTTCTTGAAATGTGGCACCCAGAACTGGACACAGTACTCATTTGAGGCCTAACTAGTGCAGAGTAGAGCGGCAGAATGACTTCACGAGTTTTGCTTACCACACACCTGTTGATACAACCTAGAATCATATTTGCTTTTTTTGCAACAGCATCACACTGTTGACTCATATTCACCTTGTGGTCCACTATGACCCCTAGATCCCTTTCTGCCATGCTCCTTCCTAGACAGTCGCTTCCCGTCTTGTATGTATGGAACTGATTGTTCCTTCCTAAGTGGAGCACTTTGCATTTCTCTTTATTAAACCTCATCCTGTTTACCTCTGACCATTTCTCTAACTTGCTAAGGTCATTTTGAATTATGTCCCTATCCTCCAAAGAAGTTGCAACCCCACCCAGTTTGGTATCATCTGCAAACTTATTTGGTATCATCTGCAAACTCCAAGGTGCACCCACATGTAAACAGCTCTAGGACTGGGACCATAGGGCAGAGCGTACACACTACATAGGACTCAAAGGGACCTCTTAGGTCTAGACTAATCCTCTACTAGTGCTACTACAAGCAACACCCTCATATAATCTCAGTCATAGACTTGATTAAGTGTCTGTTTAAAACTACCTCCGTTTCTTGCCCTCACTACTGTTATTAGGAGGACACTCCAGAACCTTGCTCTTCTGATGGGTAGAAACCTTCAAGTTTCATGCTAAATGTATGGCTGGTTTATCCCCATTTGTTCTAAAGTGTTCCTCTGAGAGCTGAACAGAGGTCCAGGTAGACCCAAAGTGAGACTCAGTCTGTAGCCCAATACAGAAAAGGTAACTCAAGTAAATTGTTGCATTCATTCTTATAGGGTTGATAAGATGAGTCAAATTACCTGTGTGCCCAAGTATTTGCCAGATTGGAGCCTAATGGCCATGCAAGTCAAGCTGTGGCCCACATTTCATGTGGACCAGGAATGGGCGCTACAGTAATAAGTGAGATTTTGGGGGTAATATTCTCCCAAGAGCAGTATTCTCCCTTGTTTCCTGGTCTTTCCCCTCTTGTCTCACCCAGCCATCCATGCCCTATGGCACAGGGCTGCCAAGTGTCAGCCATCTTGTGAGACATGCACAGCTTCCCACAAATCACGTCGTGCCCACAGAACAGAAGGCTTTCCTGTTGGAGCCAAATATAGAAGGGGCAAAGGTGACAAACTGCGGTGGTGGCCATTGGGAGAAGATGAAGAGGTACTTTTCCAGCACTGCTGTTGTCAAACACTTCCTACAGTGCCTTGCGGTGGTGGCCATTGGGAGAAGATGAAGAGGTACTTTTCCAGCACCCCTGTCCTCAACCACTTCCTACAGTGCCTTGGCAACCTCTATACACTGCTGGAGCCCTACCTCCCTCCCACCCCCCACAGCCATTCACACCAACATCCCTCACCCAGCTGCCTTCAGGAGACTGCCCACCCTTCCCACCAGTTCCCCAGTCTCCCATCCTGCTTCCTCCAAGGCACTGCCCCAGACACCCAGCCAGACCCTCAAAACCTCCCTAGAAACATCCAGCAGTGCACTTCCTCTTCACCTAGTACTTCCACCTAGTTCTTCCAGGCACTTTCCAACACCCCTCCAGCCTCATCCAAGCTGTCAAGTTTTGTGCACCTGTAGATCCTACCCCTGCTACCACTTCAGGTTAGGTTTCATTGACCATAAGCTTAGGGTTATATACATTTTTTTTGCAAATTTATAATTTGCATCAAATATCACACCTGGATCAGCACAAAACATATCTGGGGCAGAGACTAGGCCATGATTTGAATGGCTGCTGGTCCCTTCTTTGCTACAGGCATGAATATATATATTTTGGAGGTGCAGGGAGAAACAGCTTCAAATCGGCACCGGAACAATCCAAATAGGTGAAGGGTTTTTTGGGTTTTTTTTGGTTGTTCTGGAGTTTTTGTTTTGTTTGTTTTAACAGAAGCAAACACTGAAAGGTTCCTGTAAGGACATGCTACCATCTAGTGGTGTATATTTGTGAGTATTTCTGACATAATTGTCAATCCCAGAGAACAATACACTAAGCCAGGTAGCAGCCACATCTGGTGTGCAGAAATACAGAAGCCTCCTAAATGTCAAGAGAACATTAAAGGGTCACTGGGCATTAATTTCCTGAAATGATACAGTAGTTCAGCCTGGCCTCAGGCAGATCTGATTCCATGGAGCTGCACTCTTCAGGTCTCCCACAGGGCGACGGATAAATAGGTGCCTGGCCCATCATGGGATTTCTCTGTGGTGCGCAGAGCATCGGCAAAGCTTGCTGCTAGTCATGCTCTTGTCTAGCTGTTGAGTCAGGAGACATTCACCCTGAACTCGGGCCCCGCTAGCACCTAAATCCCACTGGGAAGCAGATTTCGAGCTTGGCAAGATGGCTTGCCCAAAGCCACATCTGTCAATCACATTGCTCCGCGTCACCCGCTATGCCTGGGCCACTATCCTGTTTTGCAGTCTGCACCTCTGCACCTTCACCTAGCTGCTTTGATTTAATTTACAGCCTGGGCTAGCTTGAGAGGGTCAAAGAAATACCCTAGGCCCTTCACCTAGGTGACAAGCTGAGAGCGTGTCTGTCTCATGAAAGGAGGATCACCCTAGAATTGGGCTGCAAAAGGCTGCAAGAATTTGGGCAGATCTTTCTCTGCAAGACATGAGAATAGCAAGCGCTTTACATTAAGGCTGCATCTAGATTGGCATGATTTTCTGTTAAAAGCATTTTTGGAACAGAGCGTCTAGATTGGCAAGGACGCTTTTCCGCAAAAGCACTTTTTGCGGAAAAGCGTCCGTGCCAATCTAGGCGCGCTTTTCCGCAAAAAAGCCCCCATCGCCATTTTCGCGATCGGGGCTTTTTTGCGGAAAACAAATCTGCAAAAAGCTTTGTGCAAAAGGGACTTTTGCCTGAACGGGAGCAGAATAGTATTTCTGCAAGAAGCACTGATTTCTTACAGTAGGAAGTCAGTGCTTTTGCAGAAATTCAAGCGGCCAGTGTAGACAGCTGGCAGGTTTTTCCTGAAAAGCGGCTGATTTTCCGGAAAAACTGGCCAGTCTAGACACAGCTCCGTCGACGGAGCCATGTAGATGAGTTTACTCGGCAAAGGGAAATGAAGCGGCGATTTAAATAATCGTCGCTTCATTTACATCAAAATGGCCACCACGCTGTGCCGATCAGCTGTTTGTCAGCACAGTGTGGCAGTCTAGACGGGGATCTGCTGATCCTTTCACGAGGCATAAAGGATCTTCTGACAAAGGGTTCTGGGGATGGCAGATCCCCGTCTAGACTGCCGCGCTGTGCCGACAAACAGCTGATCGGCACAGCGTGGTGGCCATTTTGATGTAAATGAAGCGACGATTATTTAAATCGCCGCTTCATTTCCCTTTGCCTAGTAAACTCATCTACATGGCTCTGTCGACGGAGCTATGTAGTCTAGATACACCCTTTGGCTGTAGAATGCACGCTATGATTTTGTGTTTTTAGACAACAGGTCTACTGGCTCTCACTTGAACCTCTGTGCTTTGTTAGAGAAACTAACACTTGATTTCACTATAAACACGTCTGAGTTCTATGTATTAAGCCGGGAGGTGATCTGAGGAGGAATTGGTACACTGGGGTTCACGGTCCTCTGGAAGCAGTGACTCTGTGAATCCTAGGTATGGCCAGAGTCCTAGGGGCTTGACACTCCAAGGGAATGCTGGGAAGACTTCAGATTGGAGTGAGCTTACAGCAGTTCACCAGTTAGCCCCTGGTATGCCACTGCCAAGGTATTTATCTGAACCTCTGCAGGTACAGGCAATCACAGCTCCCATTGGCTGGGAATGGCAATCCACAGCTAATGGGAACTGTGTTGTCTCGTACCTGCTGGAGGCTAACTGGCAGACCGGATTCAGCCTGCAGACTGGTATTTGCCCACCCCTGGCTTATGGTTAACCGTGGAGAGACAGAAGGGAAGAGAAACCTAGAGGGGAATATTTGTATTGTCAATGGCGTAGGGAAGCTGACCCCCACCAGACAAAGACCAGGAACTCTTGCTAAGGGCAGGCAGTAGCCAGGTACCTCACAATCTCCTGGGAAGCATCACTCAGAGGCAGTACAGAGAATTCCTTTCTCAGCATTTTGGAAGGTGGGGCTTGCCCACGGTTGTACTTGTCATCATTTTCAGGACTGGGAAGGAATTTTCCCTCTGATCCGTTTGGCAGGGACTGAGGGGTTGTGGTGGGTTTTTTGTTTCCCCCTGCAGCATGGAACATGGATCCCAGCTTGGATATCTCCCCAAGTCATTTTCTGCCATTGCAGGTCCTCAAACACTGATGCATCTCAATGATTCCTAATCGTCACCTAGGGTGGCACACACTGGTTTAGGTGCCTGAAAGCTGT